GAGGGGTGCCCGGGGGGGGGGGAAATAAGGCGAGCGATTGGAAGCGAAGCGTCAGAGAGGGACTGGAATCTGAACCTGAGCACTCTCTCGGTGCCTGTGTTCGCAGTGGGCGCCTGTACACACATACACACACACGCGCGCGCACACACACACACACGCACGCACGCACGCACGCACACGAGGGGCTCAGCAGATGACAACAACAAAAAAAAAAAAAAGACGAGTGGAAGCGCCCTGTTGGCTTCCCGGCCCGTTGCGTCTGCTGGGAGGTCTTGGCTGCTACCCACGGGCCACGGAGTGCTCCTGCTCGTGCCCGTACACGCTACGCTATCACGGTCAACCGCCTGGCACCTGCCTGTAATCTGCACTGGCTGCACAGGTTACAGCAGCTGTGGACAGCCTGGAGCCTGCAGGCTAATCTAGCATCGTCAACCTGCCTTGCTACCCGCACAGCCTGACAGGCTACATCGCAACCCGTACGGCGTGACACCTATGGATCCGGTGTCCAGAAAACAGTGGAGAGCGTGGCCGGGACGCCTGGAAGATTTGACGGCCAGGCCTGTCCTTGGGTCCTGAGGTCCCTTGCCCTGACCTGGGCAAGGGCGGATACGGAGTACGGAGTAAGGATGATACCAAGCCGTAATCTGTGCAGTCTGTACAGTCTGATACAGTATGAATAATACGGAGTACAAGGGGGGTGGTTTCAATTGACTGCAGGTGCTCGTGGTCTGTCCAGTCCGCGTGTCATTGCATTTATATCGTGGACGATGATATAATACTACGAGTAGAAATAAATAAAGATTAGAAATGAGATGTCGCCATGTCTTATCACTCGTGGACTGGTATCAGTAAGTGTATCGATGAGAGAAAAAGAAGATTGTAATCCCCGTGCTATGTTGGATGTGTTTTCTACTCCCGTACGTTTATGAACGATGCGTTTATATATATATATATATATATGTACATATGTATATGTATATATGTACACATGTATATATGTATATGTATATATTTATATATCCATACGTATCTCTCTCTCTCTCTCTCTCCTCTACTGCTCATTTCGGTACATCTCCATACTCGTCGTACGCCCCTCGTTGACGTCGACTTCAAGTTTTCACCATCACCTCCATCACCGTCGTAGAAATGTCACCGTGACGGATATTCAGGAACTCGTTTACGATCGTCATCTCCTCGTATCTTTACCCCCCCCCCCCCTTCCCGAGCTTACTACTACTACTACTACTACTACTACTACTACTACTACTACTACTACTAGTAAGTGTGACTATCGATACTACCTAGTACAGCTATCCGTATGTATGTATATACGAGTATCTTCTACATTATTGCGTAGCGAACAGGATCCCCGCCTCGTACGAGTATCATTTAACTATCAAGCATTGCCACTGCTTCCGTATAACCAATACCGACCAAGTATATGATGATATATAAATAGCTCCATGGCTCCATGGCTCCATGGCCGTACTGTACGTAGTCATGGTGGCTCGTGTTCGACATCTACTCGTACATGTCAATATCGCGCCTTCGCTTCCGTCTCGACGACGACACATAGGGGGAGGGGGGGTTTACATGATCATACTATCACCCTCGTACGGCCCCTAGTGGTTTTTGGGTGGATAGTTCCTCGACCCATACGAGCAGATAGGTGGCTTCAATCGCCCAAGAATCAACCAACGAAAAAAAGAAAAAAAAAAGATCCGTCATCCTGATACCACCCAACCCTGACCCGCCTACCTGAACCGACGACGATGCAAGGCACAAGGCACACACAACCCTCAAGGCTCGAGAGTGGCATCCTGCTCGATGATACATACCATGCAGGTAGGTACACACACACACAGGTCGTCAGATAGATTGGACGATTCCTTCTTCCCTGTACGGAGTAAATATTACAGGTATTACAGGTATATATATATATATATGCATATGTATATATATGTATACGTACAGAGTACAGAGTACAGGTAGATTGTATAGAGTCTGAAGAGCGTGTGATTGTCTCCGACCTCGACCCTCCAGACAACACCTCCTGTCCATCAAACATCTGCCCCTCAACCTCTCCCTTCTCCGGGTTTCAGGTTTCACATTTCACAGACACCCCTGCATCCTCTTTTTTTCTTTTTTCCTCTCAACCATCTAGAGTCTTGCCTGGTGCCTGCACGCACACGAAGATGACGCATCTCTGTCACCTCGAAATATGAGAAATAGATATGAGAGGGATTAGAAGAAGGAGAAGAAGAAGAAGACAAGGAAGGAGGAACGTCAAGAGAATTGCCAGTTCCAAGATGATAAAAAAATAAAATAAAAGACAAGACTGAAACACCAAGCTTCGAATCTGACCAGCTTAGCTCCTCCTAGCTCTCCTGGCTCTCCCGGCTCTCCCCTATAAACTCTCCAACTTGACCTTCTACGATCAACACACAATGCCAAACCCAAACAATTCTCTTCCCCATCTCGAAACTTGCCTCTTCCTTCTCAACCTCCCATGCCGGTAGCGCTCCGTAGGACTGATGTGTGAGCAGATCAGTTCATGATACAACCGAGAGGACCAGAAACACAGCCACCACTGCTACCGCCACCTCCGAACCCCCCCCCCCCCCCCCCCCCCCCCCCCCCCCCCCCCCCCCCCCCCCCCCCCCCCCCCCCCCCCCCCCCCCCCCCCCCCCCCCCCTCTCTCTCTCTCTCTCTCGGCACCTCGCCCTGAAACTTCTTGACGGCATGCCAAGTCGACGCACGTCGCACGCTACGACTAAACATGGGTTGACAGGTAGAGGTGCACACACACGTCTATTGTCTTGGTCTTCAAGCACACCATCACTCTCGCTCTGTCTCCTAAAGATATGATCGTATTGTATATTATCCAACATTGTATACTATCCGACAAAGATAGAACAAGATGCGAAGAGAATTAGAAGAGAACAGAGAAGAGAACCGAAGAAAGTGACCAAAACATCCTCATTATAAAATATACTGATGTATCAATATTAAACCCATGTACTTCGTTCCATCAAACACAAACGGAGAAAAGAAAGATCATCCCCCCATCGCCCCCTTATTCCCCCCTCGTGATCCAGACGAGGAAGGAAACCGCCTGCCGTGGGTTTCATGTGTCATCCTATATACATCTCTACCACCTTTCCCAGTTCGAAGGGAGGTGAATCATGCGATTGCCATCAGGTCGAGCCTCTTTCTTCTCTCTCTCTCTCTCTCTATCTCTCTCTCTCTCTCTCTCTATCTCTCGTAGATGAGGTATCAAGAAGCAGGCGACACTCACACATAAGATCCACTTCCCGGCATTATGAACAACCTTAGCAAACAAAGAAAAAAAGAAAGGAAAATAGTGTGTTGAGAAGAACAGTAAGAGGGTGCCAACAGGTCATCGTCTAAGAGTGGCAAAGAAGAGTCTAGCAGGACAGGACTGAGAAAACGAATGTAGGGAGTAGCAGAGGATCAAAGGACCCAGAAGAATCTTGTCGTCGCCGCTCCGGTCCTTGACGACTCCCGGGAGAAGGTCAACCCGAACGGAGGGTCTTGGACGGGGTCCAGTGAAGAACGTTGTCGATACAGATAAATGCGCCTGAAACACCAGAAAGAAGAGCCGGAAATGCCAGAGCCCCGGCTATTCGCCAAGACATGTGCAGGTTATTACATCCATACATCCACTCATTCCCGCAACGCGCGAGGGAGGGGGGAGGAGACCACCCCACCCCTCTCATCGCAGGGGCAGCTTCGTGTCACGGACACCCGCTTCAATGATGTCTTCGAGACGCCAGCGAGGGGGGTTGATGGCGATGCCATTGTCGGCCCGCCACTTCTTCTCGTCCTCGGGTGCCACATCCACGCCGGCCGGGAGAGGTTCCAGACCGCCGGCCACACCGGAAGAGTACCTCAGAGCCATGGCGTCGGCCACCTCATCGCACGCCGCCAGCAGCCTGTCCAGGTCATCCTTGTTGTGGGCCGCCGACACGCAGAAGCGGGCGCGCGACGTGATGAGGGGCGTGGCCGGGTATCCGACGACGACGACCGAGATCTGGCGACGGAGCATCTCGTGGGAAAAGGCAGAGATCTTGGCAGGGTGGTAGAGCATGACCGGGATGATGGGAGAGTCGTCGTGGCCGTAGACAATGTAGCCGAGGCGCTTGAGTCCTAGGCGCAGGTAACGAGAGTTGAAGGCGATACGGCGGAGGCGCTCCTCGCCCTGTCCGGGGCAGAGCTCGCCAGTGATCATCTTGAGCGAAGCCAGGATCTGCATGAGGACGCAGGGCGCGGGTGCCTCGCCGAGCTGTGTGGCGGCGTTGGTGACGCGGAGCTTCTCGATGATGTCCCTGTCGGCGGCGATGTAGCCACCGTTGGCACCGAACGACTTGGTCAGGGTCCCCATGAGGATATCCACCTCGGACGTGTCGATGCCAAAGTAGTCGCAGACGCCGCGGCCGCGGGGTCCCAGGGCACCGACCGAGTGGGCCTCGTCGACGAACAGGTAGAACTTGTACTTGCGCCTGAGGGCGACGATACCGGGCAGGTCGCACATGGTACCCTCCATCGAGTAGAGACCCTCGACGACGACGAGTATCTTCTTCCAGGGGCGGTGGGTGCGGGGCTGGCCCTGGGAGATGGCCTCACGCAGGACGCGCTCCAGATCCTTGGTGTCGTTGTGCTTGAAGGCCTTGATGACGGCACCGGACAGACGGGCGCCGACGCGGATAGAAGCGTGGTTGAGCTCGTCCGAGATGATGAGGCAGCCCTTGGTGACGAGGGCGGGGAACGAGCTGGCGTTGGTGACGTATCCCATGGAGAAGACCATCGACGCAGGCTTGCCGACGAAGGCGGCCACCTCTCGCTCAACCTCGAGGGCCAGGTCGGTGGTGCCGGCATCGGCGCGGGGGCTGCACATAGTAATACCGTAGCGCTTGACGCACTCCTCGACGGCATCGGCGCAGGGACCCTCGGACTGGGCAAAACCCAGGTAGTTGTAGGAGCTCATGTTGAGCGTCTCAGTCGTGGTGCCGGTGTACTTGTAGGTGCGGTTGAAATCATCCGACGTGCGGTCGAGGAGGTTGATGTACCTGCCGGGAACGCCGGTAGAGATGCGGGCAAAGGCATCGTCCAGGCGAAGCTTGAGGCGGCGGCTGTAGAAGCTGTCAAAGTCGTCGTTGAGAGGGGCGTAGCCGTTCTGGGCCTTGAGCGACGTGTAGTGCTTCTTGTCGCCGAAACGCTTGCCGAAGAAGTCGCGGACGTGGCCGAGGAGGATCAGGATGAGGTAGCTGATGTAGGTGAGCACCAGGGCGGTGTAGGGGGGGTCATCCTCGATGGGGGCCTCCAGAGGGCGGCCGTGGGATTTGCTCGTGTAGAGGTGGCTGGGCGAGGAGAGCGGACCAAACTGGGAGTCGGCTCGCCTTTGACGCTCGATCTCCTCGGCCGTCTTGGGCTCGAAGAGGGTCTTGGAGGCGGGAGGAGCGTCCGCGCTGCTGACCTGGTCGCCGCAACCGGCGGCAGAGAGCGAGATGGTAGGCAGGGAGGCAGTCGAGGAGGAGAAGCCGTACGAGGGCGACGTGCTCGTCTGCTGGTTGTGGTGATGCTGCTGCATGGCGAGCAGGGCTTGCTGGGTATGCTCCTTGGTCTTGGGGCTGGAGGAGAAGAGCTGGGTGAGGCGGTTGGCCTTGGAGCTGGAGGGTCGTCTTTCGCGCGGCTTGTCAGGGTTGGACATGGCGGCGGAGGGGTTCGAAAAAGGGTTTCCAAATCGCCGGGGCATCGCTGAGAGCCAAGACGTCGATACAGCAGGGCGCACCTAGCAGGAAAGCAGGGCGGTTCAGACGTCTGGCAGAGACGAGCGCAGGCGGCGGGTGCTGTCAGCTGCGCAGCAATGACTGTCAGCGCATGTAAAGAGCAGGGGCGGACGTGAATACGGCGAGCCGTCGCTGCGTCTATCGAGAAGCAGCGTCGTCTCCACCTCGTTCCGACCGCAGTGCCGCGGATGAAGTGGCAGCCGCAGCAAGATGGCCATGGTGGCGCGGGGCAACCAGCATGCGCCGTGCTACGAGGCACACACGAACGAGGGAGGAGCGTCACCCCACCGCCACAAGCATACGCACGCACAATGACGCTTGTCAAGGTGCTGCCCCTTGGTGGTATGGACGAGCAGAAATTGTTGGGTATGATGGGCAAATGCACGGCGGCGGCAGTGCAGCTCGGTGACGAGGACGGGGGCACACGCGGGTCTTCTTACCTGAGGTATTGGGAGGATGAACAGAACCGTGTCTTGTCAAAGCAGTCGCAGTCTGGTTGAGGGTCGAAAAGAAAGGAGGCGTTCCCGAGAGGAGGGGGGAGGGCTCCCGCGCGTGTGTGCGTGTGCGTGTGCGTGCGTGTGGGAGAGACGTGAAGGAATGTTATTCCCGGGTAGAGGTCAATCAACCTCGAGTATGTTTCTCGCAGCCGCGTGGTAAGTCTCGGGTTATCGAAAAGAAAAGAAGGAGAAGAAAGGCTGAGCCGTACAGCTGGCACGCAACTGCACCGATCTGACCGCGAGGAAGCGGTGGGACGGGCTTTTTGAGGGTCTGCGGGCAGGGCGCAAATGGTGGCAAGCGAAACCACTTCTTCCAGGCGGGAAACAAACAAGAAAAAAAATTCGCGATCGCCAACCCAACCCACGTTAAAAGAGGAGGGGAGAGGGAAATTAGGAGGTGGGAGGGGGAAGGATGGTGGGATGGAAAGGGAAGAGGAGGAAAAAAAAAAAAAAGGGAAAGGAAAGAAAAAATAAAGTGAGGGAGAGGAAGAAAGGAGAGAGGAAGAGGATAGAATGGCGGGCCACACGCTCAGAGAGAGAGAGAGAGAGAGAGAGAGAGGCAAATTGAGAAAAAGCACGATTGCGAAAGGTTTAGTGGAAAGACCGGGGGGCCGGGGGAGTAGGGGAAGGAGCGATGCAGAGGGCAGGAGAAGGCTAAGTCTCATTGGGCGATGAGGCGAAAAAGGGCGGGGAGGGGGTCCATCAGTGATCACTCAGGTACCCGTCGCGGTGTGTGATGATGACAAGCCTGTTGAGTCTGTGACGTCCTATGCGTACGGCTCTCCGTAACCGTACACGCTGTGCCATTCTACCTCTGACTGGTAGCGAGGATGACCCGGACCGATGCAATACTACGGACAGTTTTGATCACTGTCATCTTCTTCGTTTCTTTGAGGATCGCTCGTACGAGTACGGATGCTCTTCGACGGGTACGTGCGTACGAGTACTCTCGGATGGGGTTTGAGCATGCACCCCCCCTGTACGGGTGCGAGGAGAGCGCTCTGGGACAGCGTAAGGACGGTGCAAAAGAGGTCTGACATGGTCGCATGCCGAGACGCCCCCCCCCCCCCCCCCCCCCCCCCCCCCC